TGACTTTGTCTTTCCTTCTTCTCACTTTTGCTAATGACCGTGTTCTTCTGTCCGTCCGCATGAACAGTACTCCCTAATATCTAAACACAACATTAGTTTTTGAGTCTTGCAAAAACCAGTTTTTCGATGAATGAAAAACTGAATACTTCCGTTTTAATTTTTCATTCTTGAATTTTTTTTGTCTTTAAATGTTAAACATGCATAATTATTCTAAAATAAAGTTACAAACGTCACCATACTTTCTTTAGCTTTCACCACCATTAAAGAGCAGATCATGACCTAGCATACTGCACCAAGAACATGACAATAATAGTCTACTTTTATAATTTTTTGAGAAAAATTTAGATGTAATTTATTCTGCCCTACTGAAAAAATAAAATAAAGCTGTTCAAAACAAGGATACAGTTTTTGCTACCTCATCAGTGTAAGTCCTTGTCTTTTTCTTTTATTTTCTTATCATACCTTTTCTAGCTTGTTATGTTTGGGACTGTCTCTTCATTATTGAGAACATGTAAACCAACGATATTATAATGTCTTTCTCAACTTATCAATATCGTACTGGAAGACCCACATGATAAAAAAGAGTGTATTAGAAAATGTATTCTGCCACGTCACTTCTTTTAGAATCATTTAGCTTGTAACAGTAACAGACATGTACGACCATGATTGAATTGTCCTCAATAGTAGCAGCTTTCTAAAGCTTGGTAAGAATAAGGTGTTCCTAAAGTAGAGATTAGTCAAGTAGTTAAATCACCAAAATATACAGAAAAATAAAAGAGATAATTAATAAAATAAAATGTAAATCCACCAACTATATATCCATTCAACTTTTACAACAAATGAATTAACTTTCATTTTCAGAGAACAACAGGTAAAAAATATATAATGCACACTACATGAGTTTCAATCTATAACAGCTCCACAAACTTAAAATGTTTCATAATTTATGAATACAAACCTCATCTTTGGTATAAATGATCCATGGTGTTTTTCAATCCTTTGTGTGTCAATGAGGCTGCAATGCTCCTTGAATATTTTTAACAGCGCTGTCATAGTGCACAAACCCCATAAACCAAAATTCATGGTTGTCAACAGAGATAATCTGAATATATTTTTCAGACGAGTTGGTTCTGCTTGTTGAAGCGTTCACTGCTCTCAGTTGATGCAATGGAATGACCACCTAATGCATGGGAACAAAAGCATTTGATTAATAAAAGTATAATACATTCATGACATGTATGTATGTATGAATACATTAATGACAATGTGTCTATATATACGTTATATATGTATGAATGCATTGAAGTAAACAAGTGGTTTAACAATTTTCTGAGAATCTTCTATGATTATCAGAAAATAGATGAAAGTAGTACTGTTTCTGGAAATGGTCCTGGACAAATGATCGTTTTTTAAATTTATTATCAAAGTTATTTTAAGTTTCGGGAACTTATTTGTTTTTATGGAGGGAAATCCAATTTATGATCAATTTTTTTATTAGATGTTGTGAAATTAGTAATTGATGTTTCATTTAGATTTGGATTCTTAATTTTTCTTGAGTAAAGTATTACATATTTTGAGGTGTGGACGGACTTGATACATTCCACACAGGACACGTGGAAAAATGATGTTATTCTTTAATTTTGCAAAGTCAAATGCTTGCAAGGTTTTTCTCTCATGTTTAATCTTCCGTTTATCATTCCTTTAATTGTGCATTTACAAAATGTTATTCACTTGCAGAACTTGTTCTTACAAAAAATGTTACGCAATTTTCTAATAATAAAATTATAAATTATTAGTTGCAAATGAATATAAATATATAAATTCATGTGGAACATTTTCCTTAGATCTTCTAAGAATATCAGCAAATAGAAGAAAATTACATTGTTTAATCTAAAAAGTGGACCAAATTAAGGGAGGGACAAGTAATCTTAATAGTTTTGTCCAAAAGCTAAATATTTAAACATTGAAAATGATTTGGTGTAGTTTAGTATGTTTAATATCCCCTACAAAATATCAATTTATGTGGATGAGTGCTGAAAACGTTGGACATGGTAATGTCAAGACTTCAATTCTTTATTAGTATAGTCTCGTATTTTGTTAAATGCCATAGCCAATAAGTTCCTAGGAAATACCTTCGGCAATAAATATTAAAATAGTTTCAAACCGAATTGTTACTTGCTAATTTGTAATTGGCCAGGACCTGAAAGGGTACTAAAGCAATGCTGGCACATATCCTCAATCGTCATTCCATAATAAAATAACATGGATCATGATGACCATAATCTAAAAGATGAAATAAATTATATGGCCACCTAACAAAAGATGGGTTCATGATGAAATAACATGGGATCATGATGACCGTAATCTCAATGGTGGAAAAGCTTCTAAACGATGAAATAGATTAGAAGTATTCTTGATCATCATTCAACATCTAATATAATACTACCTTTCTCTACTATGAAAAAGTAATTAACACATACCACAATAACTCTTAAATATACTACTCGATTCTGCATAACTAGCACACAGTTTAAAGCCAATCAAATTGCACCCCGGCAAACAGACTACAGAGCACAAAGCAACCGAACACCATCATCGTCGTTGCCAATAGTTCAAAACAAAATTACATTGCCAAACTATATAATAATAATAGATAATCAGGGGTGGCTCAAGGATTTAGGAGGTCTAAAACAAACTTAAGAATGAGACTTTTTTTAGGTTTTTTTTTTTTTTTTTCTTAAGGCCTCAAGCATTTAGTACTAACAGAAATTTGAGGCCTTTTATTCTTAGAGGCCTAAAGAAACCCTTTTTTCTTGAAGACCTAAACCAAGGGCTTTACCAGTTTAGGCATTGAGCCGGCCATGTAGCTAATCACAATCTAAAGAAAATACTCACTCAGCGTTACCAGTGTATAGTTTAAAAAAAATAGCAAACCTCATTTCTTTGATTACAATCAGAATTCAAGAAATGGAATGTAAATATATGAGTGTAAATAAACAAGCAAAAATGTCAACAAATCATAGACAATGAAGCCATTCACAGATTAACATCATCAAATCAAACGGAAATTGCATATGCATATCATAATTTCTATTGTAGATCAATAAGAAGCAAGGAGGTTCCAGCAATACCTTATAATAGCTCCATTGTGTCTGGTCACCCATTTGGTAAGAAAGTGGGTTATCACTACAAAACGCCAGCTTCGCTGTTGACAAATACAAGACTCCCATCACAGGTCCAGCTGAAGTAGACAAGTAGCATGCATACGTTTTCAGAAGCTGCTCCTCTGGAACTGTCTCAAAAGTTTGCCTAAAGATCTTCTCATACCCTCCTTCCGCAAGAACTTTAGTTCCCTGAGCAATTCTCCCCACAGCTGCATCCGCAAAACTTGGACCCGTTTTCACTGTTCCACACAATTAAATAATAATAATGATATTAACAAGAGTCACGTTTACCAATATCCTCAGGCATTGAAGAAGAAATTAAAAGGAATTTGTTTCTTTAGATATCACAGAGCAACTGCATTAGAAATCACGGAGAAACACAATATTTCCCATCCCAAAAGAAAAATTCTCCTTTTAACAGTTTCGGGTAAGTTTTCCTTTCCCTCCCGTTCAGCTGCTTTACAAAACAATAAATTGTTTGTAAACTAAAAGTTGCAGCTAAAATCTTTTAAATAACTTATTTTCATGAATCTGAATATGTATCGCTTATGATTATTTTTCATTAGTTTTTTTATTCAACTTCATATACACACACATAAATCCCTTATGTGCAAGCTGGTTTGTTATTGTATAATAACGAAAGCAATTAAACCACCTTTCAGTCAATTTATCTAAACAAAACAGATTTTGATCGTAACAATAATCAATTATAACCCTTAATTAGATTTTCCTAAAAAAAATAATAATTGTTGGGAATCACAGATTCTAAAGAATTAAAACGGGCCTAAACTACTTTCCAATAATAGCAATAATACAAAAAATAATAACGAAAAGAAAAGACGGGTTTTAAGAAATGACAGGAAATGAATACATACAGTGCTGCCACATGTTGCCGGCGAGATCCTCCGCCTTTTTGGTGGCCTCGGCGGCTTTCTTGCCCCATTTGCCGAGAACGTCTTTCACGGAATCTAAAGTGGCTGCGAAAATAATATAAGCTGTGAAAGAGTGTTCTTGTGTAAAGGAAAATCAGAAAAAGGAGAAGAAAAGTGACGAGTTGGTTACTCTTGGAAGAGGAAGCGGCAACGGGAGCAGGAGTGACATAGGGATTGGAGTCTTTGGGCATGGTAGTAGCAGCATCGCCGGAGATTGGGGCACGAGATTCAGTATTGAGGGGTGCTTCTTGCTGTTGAAGAGGAGGTGGCACGACGTCGTCTGGGTCCAGTTTAGGGTATGGAGCATAATCGGCGGTGTGAGGAGGAGATGCAGATTGGGATTCTTCATGTTTTGTTTCGACGGTTTGGGTTTGGGTTTGGGTTTCGGGAGGTTTGGTGGCGGAGGCTTGGGTTTGGGTGGGGGCGTCGGCACTCATGTTGTTGGTTTAGGTTCGGTTTGGTTGAGGATCGGAGTATCGGTGAAGAGAGGCGATCGATCGCAGTGGAGAGTGGAGGAGGAAGAGTACACGTGTGTGGGACTTCAATTTCAAACGTCAAAATCTGCCAAAATCGTCAAACTGGTTTTAAAAGATTCAATTCATGTTTTCAATGCTCTTTCTGGATCTGCCCGTTTTACTCTCTCTCCCCTGCCCGTGTTTTTTTTTACGATGTTTGTTTGGGCATTTTCGTCATTTACACTCTAATACTATGGAATTGCTTTGCTGGAAAACACTATGGTTTGCAAAAAGAAAGCCGTAAAAAGCATGCTTTCACTGTTACAGCCCATTACTCATCTTTCAACAGTAGTATTTCAAGTTTCTTTGCTTCCTGCACCACATAATTACTATTTACATCTCCCTAATTTTTAAAATGATATTTTAATGTTCACTTCTATGGTACATATCTTAAAACAAACTCGTTGAAACATATTTCTGAAATAGAGTTTCCAAAATAAGTTTTCTAGAATATATAAAAATGCTTATTGAAACGACTTTTCAAATATTTTTTTTTAAAATAAGTTTTCTAAAATGTATAAGATCCTTTTTAAAATAGGACCTTCTAAACGAGATTTTTCAGAATTAAATTTTTGGAATAAGATTTTCGGGACATATAAGATGATTATAGAACAACTTTTTTCCGAATAAGCTCTCCAACAAATGAGATGTTTTCTAAAATAAACTTTTTGAAACAAGCTTTCTAATATATGAGATGATTTCTAAATTACTACATTAACATTATCTTCCTCTTTCTTGGTAATCTATAAATACTACAGATTGAAAAATCTTAAAATTTTCTAGAATAGACAGGAAAGTAAAACAAATTACAAAATTATATAATTTTTACCGAATCTAACATTTTACTCTCTCTTCTTACTTTCAAAGATGACATATTTTTGGATTATACAATCTAAAACATAAACCTGTATTTTGGTATTTGAAAATATATTATAAATTATATGATTCATAATACATTTACAAATATATATTTTGAATTAAATAATCCGTAATTTATTTTCAAATTTAGAAATACATTCTAAACTTCACAACTTCACCATTAGAAACCATTCTAAAAACTAAAACCCCGATCCCAAACACTCTCAACCAGAAAACAAAAAGGTTTAAATAGTTTTTTGTCCTTTAATTTGTTTTAAAAATTCAATAAGACCACTACTTTTTATTTTGTTTATTTGATCCTTTAGTTTTTCAAAATCATTCAATTTGTCCCTCACATGTTAAACTTAACACCATTTTGATAGAGATGAGGTTGCACGTTGTAATGGAATTGTAGCACATTTCTGAAAATGGTTTGTATAAATGGAGGAGGTGACATAACAAAAATGTTCTTAACATCTGAAGAACTCGAACGTATTCACACCTGTTATCCCGATTATCACAAACTCAAATCTCTCCACTTTTTCTCACTGAACATCAATGACGAAAATATTTTCACAATAAGCCTGAATATCTCAAAAATTCTTCACGTTCACGTTGAAGAACTTTTCATGTACAAGTTGAAGAATTCTTCATGTACACATTGACATAACCATGACATATATTCAATCCTACTCACTCTCCCGTTAATCATTTTAGCGTCATCACTAATTAGGATCAAATTGAATAATTTTAAAAAAGTGAAGGATTAAAAGTATAAAAACAAAAACTAGGAGTGTTATTGAATTATCAAAACAAATTAGACAACAAAAAAGTATTTAAACACAAAAAATAAATAAGGGTGAAGTTGAAGAGAGGACATATGCACTTTTCTTATTTTATTATAAATTTAGGAGGATAAATTAAAAATATTATAATTTATCAGGTGGAGTAAAAAAAAGAAAGATGTAGGAAAAACCGACCTGAAATTATAATGAGATTCCATTATCTTTTATAGGAAAAAAAAGGGGAAAAATGCAAAGGTTTTAAGAAAGGGTATAAATGTGGTGCAAAATTAGGATTAAAAGAATAACGAATAAGGAGAATAATTTTTTTTAAAGAATAATGTCAAACCCATTAAAAATCCACCAAAACCCCAGCTGAGTGGAAGACAAGTGTCGAGGAAGGGGAGCTGGAAAACAGAAAGTAGAAGACAGGTGTGAGCAGTGGAGTTGCCGTTCGGTTTTGACGGTAGGAGTAAAACTCTAAGTTTTCAAAAATTCACGCCACTCTTTGCATGCAACCATCTTCTTCAACCTTCTGAAACTCCATTCTTCTCTTTCTTCTCTCTAAGATTTCTTCATCTTCTCTCTACGAAATCTTACTTTTTCCTTCCTCCGATCATCAAACAGACCACACCTGAGTATTCCCGGCGACGAGGGCTTTCGTTTGAACCGACCAGTTTTTGATTTCGAGCTGATAAGTTCATCTCTCTCTTAGCCGTGTGGTTTCCTGGACATGCAACCCAAGTTCTGGTTTCATGTGTTGATCATTCTTCTAAAAAGAGTGATTCTGATAGTGCTTTGATCTTTACTTGATTTAGTTTCGGAAGTTGTCGAGCGTTGAGGGTAGAAGGATTGGTAGAGGTGAACCAGTAACCATATCTGTGAGCGTTCGGTCACGTTAAGAGGTAAGGGAAGCTTATATAATTTGATTTAGATTCTTGCTTTGTATGGATGCATGTTCGTTGATTTTTGAATGAATATGAAAAATGGTTGTTACTGCATTGTTGACTGTATGAGGAACTAGAATGATATTGTGTTTGATGATTTGGTTGATGATGAAATATGGTATGTCGTTTAAAAGTATTGATGATTAATGAAAGCCATGAAATGGGTAGGGATGTTGTCAAGAGTTAGTATTGATCATCCAATTATACCAACGTTCGTTCTCAGTAGCGTTCGTTCTTAATAAGTGTTAGGTATTAGACCATGTTGTCGAGAGTCAATATTGACCATTCAATTATACAAGCGTTCGTTTTCAGTAGTGTTCATTCTTAATAAGTGTTTGGTATTAGACCATGTTCTCAAGACTCAGTATTGACCATTCAATTATACAAGCGTTCGTTCTCAACAGCGTTCGTTCTTAATAAGTGTTTGGTATTCTACCAGCGCTCGTTCGATATAGTGTTCGGTTTTCTTGTGGACTCGGTTGGAACTGGATTCTTTCATTTGGAGAGAGTTCTAGTTGAAGACTAGCGTCTTCGTTTCGTTTTGTAATATTTGTACTTAAGTGTTCAACCAAGGATATTCATTCCTTGGTATTTGATTATAAACTCGAGTATATCTATATGTATTTGTATATTTCGTTCGTTCTTGAACATTAGTTAAATGATATCTTATATTTATCAAGCTTTTATTTTATAAATTAAGTAGTGCTCGGTCTTACACCAAGCGTTCGTACTAAGTAGTACTCGGTCTTACACCAAGCGTTCGTACTAAGTAGTACTTGGTCTTACACCAAGCGCTCGTACTAAGTAAGTGCTCGGTCTTACACCAGGCGCTAGTTCCCATTTCCGTAATCTATCTTTATAATAAGAGCGTTCGTCCAAACTTAATAGCGTTCGCTCTCTACAGTGCCCGGTCTTCGACTGACATTTGGTTTCCTTGATGTTTAACTCATTAAGAAGCTAAGTATTTATTGGCGTTCGGTTTCTTCATATGATTCCGTCAAGTGCTATTATTTGATGTCCTACAGTATCTGTCTTAATTGGTTTCGGCCTAGAGTCTTAAGACTCGGCCTAGGCTTTACGGTGTTCGGTTTGAAATCTCAAGAGTCAGTTCATTGAATTGGCTCACTTGGAAAATAACGTTCGATTCTATTGGTCTCTAAGAAGTATTATTGTATTCGGTCCCTTTCACAACAAGTGAGTAACTCTCTCGATTTGATTAGTTTTGAGTTGGAGACATCTCGGTCTCACTCCAAGTTTTCAGTCTCGTTCTGGGTTAAAAACTAACGTTCGGTATTTGGTATCCTACTAGATCTTTATTCAAATTGGTTAAGTTGAAGTTTTAATGATGAAAGGTGATGGAATATGATATGGATGAAATGACTTTGATTATGAAAGAGTATTCTGGGGAGGAATATCTCATGAATGGATATTGGAAATTGGTAAAGTATGAATGTGGATAAAGCGAAGCTGACAATTCATCCTGATATTCCGTGATTACTCGTTTCTCACGTAGAGAAGGGTAAGTCATGTGTGAGAATGACAGGAGGTCCTAGTTCTTATGGTTAATTTGGACAGATAGGACTAACCTCGATGGCAGCTGTTGAGGGTATCCCAGTTACTACATCACCCAGGTGCACGAATGTCGTAGCTACACAGAATTCATACAGTCCGGACAGTCAGAGTCTAGTATTAGGCTTTGCATGAAAGAGTTAATGATTTTATCTGGTTTAATTGATTGTGTGAAATATATGCTGATACATGAATTAAATTACATAAACTTGCCCTATTTCCTGTCATGTCATGTATTCCCGTTTGTTCGTCCTTGTCATCGCAATGATCATCCGTGTGGATGTGAGCAGAAGGAGAAGAGCTGCTGGAAGAAGCGCTGGAAGAAGAAAGTTTGGTCGAGGTAGAAGTTAAGACCGAATAATAGAACCGTTCGGTCAGTAGTCAGTTTAATTGTACGATGACCGTTCGATCATCTTTTACCTTTTTCTTTTGTATGACCGTTCGGTATAGGCCTTTTGTAAATCGTTCGGTCTAGATTGCTTATTTGCACATTTTTAACTCCCTACTATTTTTGTAAGGACGTTCGGCCTTAATCGTACGTTCTATCTTTTGAAAGAACTGAGCAGTAATATTATTATATGTGATCATTCTATTATATGGTTTTATACTGTATTTTTGGGATTAGAAATAACAAAAGTGAATAAGTAGAGTTTATTATTCAAAACATATTTTTGGTAAACATGTTAAGATTAATAACAAAATTGTTTGAGAAAAATTAGGCGTTAGCCTGAATAAATTAATAGAGATAATGTTTTAGGTACTAATATTGGTAAGTTAAAGCACCCAATCTTACCAACCTCATTGTAATAATTTTTTTGGGAAAAATACTTAATTTTATATCCATAATATTAAAATAAACGACTAACTTAAGTAATCATATTGTGGATGTTCTAAATTGAAATATTTAAATAGGAAAAACCCATAATTTTTTGTCATTTATATGTAAATTCTCTTAAATATCATAACAGTAGTTAAAAGCGTTGTAATTTGAAATTCTTACCACAAAATAGTTTTATTTTAGATAAATTTATGATGACAAACAAATTCATGCTTCATACAACAAATGCAAATTACGAGTTTATGGACTTTTATGATAATTAGGTGGAGTTATGTTAATAATAATAACAGTAATTTATAATTAGTTGAAAGTAAATAAGTTTTGCTAACACGTAGCTATATACTTATATGTTATTCTATTTTTTGTGACAAATAGTTGTTAGTACACACCCCCTAATTACAAGTTTTCAAACATGGTTTTAATATTAATTTTCTACTATCTATTGGACAAACAAAAATCAAAATTAATTTAAACGCACGCTTACTTAAAACTTATTCTGAGGAATCACTTTGATCGAAAATTAGTATTATCAACACACGAACTCAATGAAAGGCATTACTCGGTTTACATTCAATGAGAAAATGAAAAAGAAAGGTGCCATTTCTTGAATTGGAATCGCAAGCTATAACAATTTCCAAAGGAACTGCTATCGTTCGGGAAATTTTTTACTTGGAATGTATGCCTGCGATCAAGTCTACTTAGAATGTCATATAAAAAAAGTACAAGTATATGAACAAATAGGTAGAACACGATTCAACATGACGAAAGAAAAAAGAGGCTGACATTTAAATACAACTTTATTTCCTTTGCTCTTCACAAATTGAGATATTTAACAGAAAAAATATTATCAGGGAGCCAACCGCTCAATCTTCCACAGCCGCTGTCCATTGATCTCATGGGGAGTATATTGCAACCTGTGAATAAAACATGCACACAATCTCAGGAAAATATTGTGTTTAAATTTACTTCACTGTATATGAAAATGTGCTCTGGCACAGAATGATGGTCTAGGACATCGTACTCCTTTAACTAGGGTTTCAAACAAATCTTATAAGGAAAGGAAGTCTGTGAAATGTTTCTGTTAGGTGTCAGTGTTAGATATCTTTTAGTGAGTGAGAGACAGGGAGTTGGGCTGGGATATTTAGAAGAAATCAGGCATCTCCCTCATAAACAAGAAGAGTAGAGATTGAAAGGTAACTAGTCACTTATGGGGAACATCAGACAATAGGACCTCAGTGGAACTCTTTTCAGAAATCACAAGTTGTTCCCCATGATGGTAAAAAGTTGTTCCCCATGATGTTTAGGGGCACTAGATATCTTTAGCATCAATGAGTAATTGTTAGTGAGGGAGTTAAATTAATTGGGACAAAAGAAAAATAATGCATCTTGACTATGGATAGGCAGGGTTTCAGAGGGAGAGGTAACTAGTCTCATTTCTGAGAGAATTGGGGCCACAGGTCTGGGAATGGAAGGCGCGTACCCTTAAAGTTTTCCAATGCTTTATCTTTGTAATAGGATATCCATATTTCTTCCTAATAAAATACCAGGTTCCTGTAGACGGTTTATTTATAGACCAAACGTAACAAAACACCCAGATAACCATATTCTACACCAGAATAAAATAATTCAAAATTGAACAACGTCCCTAAATAAAAAATAATTCCAAATAAAAATTGCTCATCAAGGACAAGTATATCCAAATTTTAAGCAATGTCAAGATAAGCTTCGACATTCAAGCTATTTTAGACTGATGAGGGGATGCAGCAAAAGCTTGTAAGGGTTGATTTTCAATATAAATCTCAAACTTATTTAAGTAACTCAATTTTTTCTTGTGGGGATAGAATGAATAACTCTTTAAAGTAAAAATGTCATATATTGTTGTAGATATGGCAGATTACTTTATAACGTTATCGTAACCAAGCAGGCAGACTAGGATATAGATAAACTCAAATTGATAGGCATACGATTCGGATCTTGAACCTAAGCCGTGGCTTGAAAACCCAATACACGTTACTAAAAAACTATTATGTACATATTGTTTGGCTTCATCCATTCATAGAAAAAAAGCAACTTAAAAACAAGAAAACCTATCACAAACGAGGATGCAACCACCTGTCGTGCAAGCGAGATTTCTGTCCTTGCCAAAACTCAAAAAGTTGTGGTGTGAGTCTATATCCTCCCCAGTTAGGTCTAGGGATCATACTTCTGCAAGTAGAAAATATGAGGATTATTTACATCTTCCCTAGAGTTAACAAATGGGAGAAAAGTATAATCGTGGCCAAATGAGATGGTTAGCTACTCAGGTTTCCAAGTACAAGCAATGAGAATCCATGGGGTTATAGACCATCTCGAGAGAGTAACATATTTTATCATAATTTACAAATAACATTGAGTCAAAAGTAGTTGTTCAATAACTTACCCATCGGCGTATTTTTGTTCCAGTTCTTTGTACTCCTGATAAAGAACATGCCTACCAGGTACTACAGTACTCTAATGATCCAAGAAATTGAAATTATAAGTTAATATGTCATACCATTTCCATATATAACAATTAAATTTAAAGTGAGGCAGAACTAGACCTGCTTGCTAACTATTGCTCCAATCTGACTTCCTCTAGGACGGCTATGGAAATATTCTTCCGATTCCTCATCAGAGACTTTCTGAACGGGCCCTTCTACCCGTACCTAGGAAAAGAAATAAACAAAAAAAGTAATGGATAACAATAAATATGAATTACGGAGGAAATAAATTATGAAAACCGTACACAATTTCAGAAGCCTAAATAAGAAAGGAAAAAAAAATCATTTCCCTAAGATACAGATAAACAATTGATTACAGCTGGTCCAACTAAAAGGACCTGCGAAAACAGAATCAGTCAATCACAATTGGCAGTTGCTTCAGATTTTCCAAACTGGGTTCCGGGTGTAGTTATGACTGCATTAACTGCATCTTTCGAGTTAGCTAGCTGCTCATTCCCTTAAGGGTTGAAGGCAACAAGAACACTAGGAGAGGTGTGCCAGGCAATACCTCTACCTAACACTACACAGGTCAGTCTTTCCTTTGCTTGATCTCATTGTTGCGAATCTCTAAATAAGGCTCTCATTCTTCATATTCTCATGAGTGGTTTGCATCTGATCCCAGAAAAGAAGATGTGGCATCTCAGCAAAGAGAGCCCTTGAGTGACATGAATTAGGTGACGGAAAGCTTGATAAAAAGAAAAATGTAGCCTCATGGGAGTTAGATCCCTTTGAGTGAGCGTATCCAACACTCCTAAAATATCATGAATATCCAATAGTTGAGGCATGCATCCAAAATGCAGTGACAGTTTGCATTATCAAAATGTATGTATGTATCAAGTTAAATTGAAACGCTAACCATTGTTCTTCACCAATGTAAATCAAGTCAGCAAATGCAATAGAACACAACAACAGCAAATTAAATTTGTCTAGCCGAAATATTACTGATGTTCATCAATATTACTGATGTTCATCTTGTATCATTTGTGCAGGTTCCCTAATATATGATCATTTCAAGAAACAAAATGGTTTAAAAAAGGTATTCGACTACGAATGCAGGTAGGCAACTGCAGGAAGTTTTGGTGGTATTACTTGAGAATTAAACTGTAAAATAATTCTTGAGGGCTTGATTTGATNCTGCGAAAATAATATAAGCTGTGAAAGAGTGTTCTTGTGTAAAGGAAAATCAGAAAAAGGAGAAGAAAAGTGACGAGTTGGTTACTCTTGGAAGAGGAAGCGGCAACGGGAGCAGGAGTGACATAGGGATTGGAGTCTTTGGGCATGGTAGTAGCAGCATCGCCGGAGATTGGGGCACGAGATTCAGTATTGAGGGGTGCTTCTTGCTGTTGAAGAGGAGGTGGCACGACGTCGTCTGGGTCCAGTTTAGGGTATGGAGCATAATCGGCGGTGTGAGGAGGAGATGCAGATTGGGATTCTTCATGTTTTGTTTCGACGGTTTGGGTTTGGGTTTGGGTTTCGGGAGGTTTGGTGGCGGAGGCTTGGGTTTGGGTGGGGGCGTCGGCACTCATGTTGTTGGTTTAGGTTCGGTTTGGTTGAGGATCGGAGTATCGGTGAAGAGAGGCGATCGATCGCAGTGGAGAGTGGAGGAGGAAGAGTACACGTGTGTGGGACTTCAATTTCAAACGTCAAAATCTGCCAAAATCGTCAAACTGGTTTTAAAAGATTCAATTCATGTTTTCAATGCTCTTTCTGGATCTGCCCGTTTTACTCTCTCTCCCCTGCCCGTGTTTTTTTTTACGATGTTTGTTTGGGCATTTTCGTCATTTACACTCTAATACTATGGAATTGCTTTGCTGGAAAACACTATGGTTTGCAAAAAGAAAGCCGTAAAAAGCATGCTTTCACTGTTACAGCCCATTACTCATCTTTCAACAGTAGTATTTCAAGTTTCTTTGCTTCCTGCACCACATAATTACTATTTACATCTCCCTAATTTTTAAAATGATATTTTAATGTTCACTTCTATGGTACATATCTTAAAACAAACTCGTTGAAACATATTTCTGAAATAGAGTTTCCAAAATAAGTTTTCTAGAATATATAAAAATGCTTATTGAAACGACTTTTCAAATATTTTTTTTTAAAATAAGTTTTCTAAAATGTATAAGATCCTTTTTAAAATAGGACCTTCTAAACGAGATTTTTCAGAATTAAATTTTTGGAATAAGATTTTCGGGACATATAAGATGATTATAGAACAACTTTTTTCCGAATAAGCTCTCCAACAAATGAGATGTTTTCTAAAATAAACTTTTTGAAACAAGCTTTCTAATATATGAGATGATTTCTAAATTACTACATTAACATTATCTTCCTCTTTCTTGGTAATCTATAAATACTACAGATTGAAAAATCTTAAAATTTTCTAGAATAGACAGGAAAGTAAAACAAATTACAAAATTATATAATTTTTACCGAATCTAACATTTTACTCTCTCTTCTTACTTTCAAAGATGACATATTTTTGGATTATACAATCTAAAACATAAACCTGTATTTTGGTATTTGAAAATATATTATAAATTATATGATTCATAATACATTTACAAATATATATTTTGAATTAAATAATCCGTAATTTATTTTCAAATTTAGAAATACATTCTAAACTTCACAACTTCACCATTAGAAACCATTCTAAAAACTAAAACCCCGATCCCAAACACTCTCAACCAGAAAACAAAAAGGTTTAAATAGTTTTTTGTCCTTTAATTTGTTTTAAAAATTCAATAAGACCACTACTTTTTATTTTGTTTATTTGATCCTTTAGTTTTTCAAAATCATTCAATTTGTCCCTCACATGTTAAACTTAACACCATTTTGATAGAGATGAGGTTGCACGTTGTAATGGAATTGTAGCACATTTCTGAAAATGGTTTGTATAAATGGAGGAGGTGACATAACAAAAATGTTCTTAACATCTGAAGAACTCGAACGTATTCACACCTGTTATCCCGATTATCACAAACTCAAATCTCTCCACTTTTTCTCACTGAACATCAATGACGAAAATATTTTCACAATAAGCCTGAATATCTCAAAAATTCTTCACGTTCACGTTGAAGAACTTTTCATGTACAAGTTGAAGAATTCTTCATGTACACATTGACATAACCATGACATATATTCAATCCTACTCACTCTCCCGTTAATCATTTTAGCGTCATCACTAATTAGGATCAAATTGAATAATTTTAAAAAAGTGAAGGATTAAAAGTATAAAAACAAAAACTAGGAGTGTTATTGAATTATCAAAACAAATTAGACAACAAAAAAGTATTTAAACACAAAAAATAAATAAGGGTGAAGTTGAAGAGAGGACATATGCACTTTTCTTATTTTATTATAAATTTAGGAGGATAAATTAAAAATATTATAATTTATCAGGTGGAGTAAAAAAAAGAAAGATGTAGGAAAAACCGACCTGAAATTATAATGAGATTCCATTATCTTTTATAGGAAAAAAAAGGGGAAAAATGCAAAGGTTTTAAGAAAGGGTATAAATGTGGTGCAAAATTAGGATTAAAAGAATAACGAATAAGGAGAATAATTTTTTTTAAAGAATAATGTCAAACCCATTAAAAATCCACCAAAACCCCAGCTGAGTGGAAGACAAGTGTCGAGGAAGGGGAGCTGGAAAACAGAAAGTAGAAGACAGGTGTGAGCAGTGGAGTAGCCGTTCGGTTTTGACGGTAGGAGTAAAACTCTAAGTTTTCAAAAATTCACGCCACTCTTTGCATGCAACCATCTTCTTCAACCTTCTGAAACTCCATTCTTCTCTTTCTTCTCTCTAAGATTTCTTCATCTTCTCTCTACGAAATCTTACTTTTTCCTTCCTCCGATCATCAAACAGACCACACCTGAGTATTCCCGGCGACGAGGGCGTTCGTTTGAACCGACCAGTTTTTGATTTCGAGCTGATAAGTTCATCTCTCTCTTAGCCGTGTGGTTTCCTGGACATGCAACCCAAGTTCTGGTTTCATGTGTTGATCATTCTTCTAAAAAGAGTGATTCTGATAGTGCTTTGATCTTTACTTGATTTAGTTTCGGAAGTTGTCGAGCGTTGAGGGTAGAAGGATTGGTAGAGGTGAACCAGTATCCATATCTGTGAGCGTTCGGTCACGTTAAGAGGTAAGGGAAGCTTATATAATTTGATTTAGATTCTTGCTTTGTATGGATGCATGTTCGTTGATTTTTGAATGAATATGAAAAATGGTTGTTACTGCATTGTTGACTGTATGAGGAACTAGAATGATATTGTGTTTGATGATTTGGTTGATGATGAAATATGGTATGTCGTTTAAAAGTATTGATGATTAATGAAAGCCATGAAATGGGTAGGGATGTTGTCAAGAGTTAGTATTGATCATCCAATTATACCAACGTTCGTTCTCAGTAGCGTTCGTTCTTAATAAGTGTTAGGTATTAGACCATGTTGTCGAGAGTCAATATTGACCATTCAATTATACAAGCGTTCGTTTTCAGTAGTGTTCATTCTTAATAAGTGTTTGGTATTAGACCATGTTCTCAAGACTCAGTATTGACCATTCAATTATACAAGCGTTCGTTCTCAACAGCGTTCGTTCTTAATAAGTGTTTGGTATTCTACCAGCGCTCGTTCGATATAGTGTTCGGTTTTCTTGTGGACTCGGTTGGAACTGGATTCTTTCATTTGGAGAGAGTTCTAGTTGAAGACTAGCGTCTTCGTTTCGTTTTGTAATATTTGTACTTAAGTGTTCAACCAAGGATATTCATTCCTTGGTATTTGATTATAAACTCGAGTATATCTATATGTATTTGTATATTTCGTTCGTTCTTGAACATTAGTTAAATGATATCTTATATTTATCAAGCTTTTATTTTATAAATTAAGTAGTGCTCGGTCTTACACCAAGCGTTCGTACTAAGTAGTACTTGGTCTTACACCAAGCGCTCGTACTAAGTAAGTGCTCGGTCTTACACCAGGCGCTAGTTCCCATTTCCGTAATCTATCTTTATAATAAGAGCGTTCGTCCAAACTTAATAGCGTTCGCTCTCTACAGTGCCCGGTCTTCGACTGACATTTGGTTTCCTTGATGTTTAACTCATTAAGAAGCTAAGTATTTATTGGCGTTCGGTTTCTTCATATGATTCCGTCAAGTGCTATTATTTGATGTCCTACAGTATCTGTCTTAATTGGTTTCGGCCTAGAGTCTTAAGACTCGGCCTAGGCTTTACGGTGTTCGGTTTGAAATCTCAAGAGTCAGTTCATTGAATTGGCTCACTTGGAAAATAACGTTCGATTCTATTGGTCTCTAAGAAGTATTATTGTATTCGGTCCCTTTCACAACAAGTGAGTAACTCTCTCGATTTGATTAGTTTTGAGTTGGAGACATCTCGGTCTCACTCCAAGTTTTCAGTCTCGTTCTGGGTTAAAAACTAACGTTCGGTATTTGGTATCCTACTAGATCTTTATTCAAATTGGTTAAGTTGAAGTTTTAATGATGAAAGGTGATGGAATATGATATGGATGAAATGACTTTGATTATGAAAGAGTATTCTGGGGAGGAATATCTCATGAATGGATATTGGAAATTGGTAAAGTATGAATGTGGATAAAGCGAAGCTGACAATTCATCCTGATATTCCGTGATTACTCGTTTCTCACGTAGAGAAGGGTAAGTCATGTGTGAGAATGACAGGAGGTCCTAGTTCTTATGGTTAATTTGGACAGATAGGACTAACCTCGATGGCAGCTGTTGAGGGTATCCCAGTTACTACATCACCCAGGTGCACGAATGTCGTAGCTACACAGAATTCATACAGTCCGGACAGTCAGAGTCTAGTATTAGGCTTTGCATGAAAGAGTTAATGATTTTATCTGGTTTAATTGATTGTGTGAAATATATGCTGATACATGAATTAAATTACATAAACTTGCCCTATTTCCTGTCATGTCATGTATTCCCGTTTGTTCGTCCTTGTCATCGCAATGATCATCCGTGTGGATGTGAGCAGAAGGAGAAGAGCTGCTGGAAGAAGCGCTGGAAGAAGAAAGTTTGGTCGAGGTAGAAGTTAAGACCGAATAATAGAACCGTTCGGTCAGTAGTCAGTTTAATTGTACGATGACCGTTCGATCATCTTTTACCTTTTTCTTTTGTATGACCGTTCGGTATAGGCCTTTTGTAAATCGTTCGGTCTAGATTGCTTATTTGCACATTTTTAACTCCCTACTATTTTTGTAAGGACGTTCGGCCTTAATCGTACGTTCTATCTTTTGAAAGAACTGAGCAGTAATATTATTATATGTGATCATTCTATTATATGGTTTTATACTGTATTTTTGGGATTAGAAATAACAAAAGTGAATAAGTAGAGTTTATTATTCAAAACATATTTTTGGTAAACATGTTAAGATTAATAACAAAATTGTTTGAGAAAAATTAGGCGTTAGCCTGAATAAATTAATAGAGATAATGTTTTAGGTACTAATATTGGTAAGTTAAAGCACCCAATCTTACCAACCTCATTGTAATAATTTTTTTGGGAAAAATACTTAATTTTATATCCATAATATTAAAATAAACGACTAACTTAAGTAATCATATTGTGGATGTTCTAAATTGAAATATTTAAATAGGAAAAACCCATAATTTTTTGTCATTTATATGTAAATTCTCTTAAATATCATAACAGTAGTTAAAAGCGTTGTAATTTGAAATTCTTACCACAAAATAGTTTTATTTTAGATAAATTTATGATGACAAACAAATTCATGCTTCATACAACAAATGCAAATTACGAGTTTATGGACTTTTATGATAATTAGGTGGAGTTATGTTAATAATAATAACAGTAATTTATAATTAGTTGAAAGTAAATAAGTTTTGCTAACACGTAGCTATATACTTATATGTTATTCTATTTTTTGTGACAAATAGTTGTTAGTACACACCCCCTAATTACAAGTTTTCAAACATGGTTTTAATATTAATTTTCTACTATCTATTGGACAAACAAAAATCAAAATTAATTTAAACGCACGCTTACTTAAAACTTATTCTGAGGAATCACTTTGATCGAAAATTAGTATTATCAACACACGAACTCAATGAAAGGCATTACTCGGTTTACATTCAATGAGAAAATGAAAAAGAAAGGTGCCATTTCTTGAATTGGAATCGCAAGCTATAACAATTTCCAAAGGAACTGCTATCGTTCGGGAAATTTTTTACTTGGAATGTATGCCTGCGATCAAGTCTACTTAGAATGTCATATAAAAAAAGTACAAGTATATGAACAAATAGGTAGAACACGATTCAACATGACGAAAGAAAAAAGAGGCTGACATTTAAATACAACTTTATTTCCTTTGCTCTTCACAAATTGAGATATTTAACAGAAAAAATATTATCAGGGAGCCAACCGCTCAATCTTCCACAGCCGCTGTCCATTGATCTCATGGGGAGTATATTGCAACCTGTGAATAAAACATGCACACAATCTCAGGAAAATATTGTGTTTAAATTTACTTCACTGTATATGAAAATGTGCTCTGGCACAGAATGATGGTCTAGGACATCGTACTCCTTTAACTAGGGTTTCAAACAAATCTTATAAGGAAAGGAAGTCTGTGAAATGTTTCTGTTAGGTGTCAGTGTTAGATATCTTTTAGTGAGTGAGAGACAGGGAGTTGGGCTGGGATATTTAGAAGAAATCAGGCATCTCCCTCATAAACAAGAAGAGTAGAGATTGAAAGGTAACTAGTCACTTATGGGGAACATCAGACAATAGGACCTCAGTGGAACTCTTTTCAGAAATCACAAGTTGTTCCCCATGATGGTAAAAAGTTGTTCCCCATGATGTTTAGGGGCACTAGATATCTTTAGCATCAATGAGTAATTGTTAGTGAGGGAGTTAAATTAATTGGGACAAAAGAAAAATAATGCATCTTGACTATGGATAGGCAGGGTTTCAGAGGGAGAGGTAACTAGTCTCATTTCTGAGAGAATTGGGGCCACAGGTCTGGGAATGGAAGGCGCGTACCCTTAAAGTTTTCCAATGCTTTATCTTTGTAATAGGATATCCATATTTCTTCCTAATAAAATACCAGGTTCCTGTAGACGGTTTATTTATAGACCAAACGTAACAAAACACCCAGATAACCATATTCTACACCAGAATAAAATAATTCAAAATTGAACAACGTCCCTAAATAAAAAATAATTCCAAATAAAAATTGCTCATCAAGGACAAGTATATCCAAATTTTAAGCAATGTCAAGATAAGCTTCGACATTCAAGCTATTTTAGACTGATGAGGGGATGCAGCAAAAGCTTGTAAGGGTTGATTTTCAATATAAATCTCAAACTTATTTAAGTAACTCAATTTTTTCTTGTGGGGATAGAATGAATAACTCTTTAAAGTAAAAATGTCATATATTGTTGTAGATATGGCAGATTACTTTATAACGTTATCGTAACCAAGCAGGCAGACTAGGATATAGATAAACTCAAATTGATAGGCATACGACTCGGATCTTGAACCTAAGCCGTGGCTTGAAAACCCAATACACGTTACTAAAAAACTATTATGTACATATTGTTTGGCTTCATCCATTCATAGAAAAAAAGCAACTTAAAAACAAGAAAACCTATCACAAACGAGGATGCAACCACCTGTCGTGCAAGCGAGATTTCTGTCCTTGCCAAAACTCAAAAAGTTGTGGTGTGAGTCTATATCCTCCCCAGTTAGGTCTAGGGATCATACTTCTGCAAGTAGAAAATATGAGGATTATTTACATCTTCCCTAGAGTTAACAAATGGGAGAAAAGTATAATCGTGGCCAAATGAGATGGTTAGCTACTCAGGTTTCCAAGTACAAGCAATGAGAATCCATGGGGTTATAGACCATCTCGAGAGAGTAACATATTTTATCATAATTTACAAATAACATTGAGTCAAAAGTAGTTGTTCAATAACTTACCCATCGGCGTATTTTTGTTCCAGTTCTTTGTACTCCTGATAAAGAACATGCCTACCAGGTACTACAGTACTCTAATGATCCAAGAAATTGAAATTATAAGTTAATATGTCATACCATTTCCATATATAACAATTAAATTTAAAGTGAGGCAGAACTAGACCTGCTTGCTAACTATTGCTCCAATCTGACTTCCTCTAGGACGGCTATGGAAATATTCTTCCGATTCCTCATCAGAGACTTTCTGAACGGGCCCTTCTACCCGTACCTAGGAAAAGAAATAAACAAAAAAAGTAATGGATAACAATAAATATGAATTACGGAGGAAATAAATTATGAAAACCGTACACAATTTCAGAAGCCTAAATAAGAAAGGAAAAAAAAATCATTTCCCTAAGATACAGATAAACAATTGATTACAGCTGGTCCAACTAAAAGGACCTGCGAAAACAGAATCAGTCAATCACAATTGGCAGTTGCTTCAGATTTTCCAAACTGGGTTCCGGGTGTAGTTATGACTGCATTAACTGCATCTTTCGAGTTAGCTAGCTGCTCATTCCCTTAAGGGTTGAAGGCAACAAGAACACTAGGAGAGGTGTGCCAGGCAATACCTCTACCTAACACTACACAGGTCAGTCTTTCCTTTGCTTGATCTCATTGTTGCGAATCTCAAAATAAGGCTCTCATTCTTCATATTCTCATGAGTGGTTTGCATCTGATCCCAGAAAAGAAGATGTGGCATCTCAGCAAAGAGAGCCCTTGAGTGACATGAATTAGGTGACGGAAAGCTTGATAAAAAGAAAAATGTAGCCTCATGGGAGTTAGATCCCTTTGAGTGAGCGTATCCAACACTCCTAAAATATCATGAATATCCAATAGTTGAGGCATGCATCCAAAATGCAGTGACAGTTTGCATTATCAAAATGTATGTATGTATCAAGTTAAATTGAAACGCTAACCATTGTTCTTCACCAATGTAAATCAAGTCAGCAAATGCAATAGAACACAACAACAGCAAATTAAATTTGTCTAGCCGAAATATTACTGATGTTCATCAATATTACTGATGTTCATCTTGTATCATTTGTGCAGGTTCCCTAATATATGATCATTTCAAGAAACAAAATGGTTTAAAAAAGGTATTCGACTACGAATGCAGGTAGGCAACTGCAGGAAGTTTTGGTGGTATTACTTGAGAATTAAACTGTAAAATAATTCTTGAGGGCTTGATTTGATTCCTCTCATAATCTTCTATTTATAAAAATAAATTGATACAAGAGTACATGATAATTAGGGTAACCTTAGACACAATATAATCATGATAGAGTAATCTAGACACAATATAATCATGATAAATAGGGTAAATATTCTAACACTCCCCCTCAAGCTGGAGCATACAAATTGTATGTGCCAAGCTTGGAATAAATATACTTAATCTAACAAAATCAACTTGTCTAAAATGTCGAGACAATAGACGTGGTAACTTTGGCTCCGAACAAGATGCACATATACTTCAGACCATTGGGAGAGGATGTTTATAAACCAAATTGGACTCACAAACCAGCATAACCAAAAAGACTCCTCATAAGCTTATGAAGAATAATATTGGACAACCACGAAACTTCATCTAGCATTATCAAGCTTCAAGTAGGATGACTTCGACAAAGTTGATTTTCATCAAAAGTGAATGATGAGTGGTAGACAACGACAAACTGCAGAGACTGGATTGCCATCAAGTAAGGATGGGGCCTGCATGGCTAAAAGCGACAAAAATGCAGGGACTATCATCTCTGACTAGTTGCTGGAAACATACTCCCCTCACTGCAGGGACTAAATTGCCATTACTGACTGATGGGGCCTGCAGGGACTAAATTACCATCACTGACTGATGGAGCCTGCAGGGACTGCCATCACTGACTGACGAGGTGATGGGGGCCTACAGCGGTTGAAAGGACAAAACTGCAGGGACTGCCATCATTGACTGATGGAGCATGTGGCTGGAAACATATTGCAGTGGTTGGAAGCATACTCCCCCTCACGACAAACGACGGAAATGATGACGCCGCCGATGACAAATCGTGAAGGTGGAAGATCATAATGCTCTCCTTTATTCATCAAAGCATCCAAAAACAGATCTGACAAGGGACTGGTGAAATTGTTTGACTAAGATTCTGAATCATGCCATGAGGAACCTTCAACCTATGACTTTGGTGTTGAAATTCCTTGGAACTAACCAACTAATAGCACTGACTCTCCTTGGAAACTTGTAAATAAATGACACAAGTCATCAGGAACATCACAGCTGCTACAATACGCAAAGCTAAACAAATATTATGAAAGGAGGCTAAGGAACAATGCTGAAACAGAGGTATAATGCTGAAAGAGAGAGTTTTTTTTTATTTGGTCGAGCGAGACGAACTATAGTGACGCCGTGTGATTCCGACACCGGAAAGGTGGCGTGTGACAAACAAGCGCCGGAAGCTTATCGGAGAGAAGTCGTGCGTGACAAGATGAGAATGAGGCAACGACTAGGGATGGTTCGCGCTCCTCGAGGCGCACAAAACTCCTAACTTCGACAGAGAAAATGTGACGACTGCGGAGACGAACGTCGGACAAATGTGGCGCACATGGCGGCGCCTGGATGAGAACTAGCCCTCTCGCTCAAGGAGGCGATCCAGATCACTAGTTAGACTAAACTGTGGCAGCAGATGGCAACAGACGACAATAGACGGTGGTCGACAGCGGACAGTGGTCGGCAGCGGACAGCTGCGGACGGTGGGAAACAGCGGACAGTGGAGGACAATGACGAACGACGTCGAGAACAGAAGTTGATGGTGACAAACTTCTGTAGGCAGCTCCTCACAGTGGCAAAACAATGTTAGATGGACAACTACAAATGGCACCAGACAATGACAAACGATGTCGAACAACTACAAACGACGCCTAGACAACGGTAAACGGTGCTGGACAGTTGCGGACAACAACTAAGGTTTGGAGACTAGAGAGAAATTAGAAAGGGACTGCTCATTGAGGTATTTCAGAAAAGATGAAATTTTTAAGGCCGCCAGTGGCCAGCGCTGCCACCGCGGCAACAAAGACAGAGACTCAAACAACCTGCTCTGATACCAACTTGAGAATTAAACTGTAAAATAATTCTTGAGGGCTTGATTTGATCCCTCTCATAATCTTCTATTTATAAAAATAAATTGANATACATTCTAAACTTCACAACTTCACCATTAGAAACCATTCTAAAAACTAAAACCCCGATCCCAAACACTCTCAACCAGAAAACAAAAAGGTTTAAATAGTTTTTTGTCCTTTAATTTGTTTTAAAAATTCAATAAGACCACTACTTTTTATTTTGTTTATTTGATCCTTTAGTTTTTCAAAATCATTCAATTTGTCCCTCACATGTTAAACTTAACACCATTTTGATAGAGATGAGGTTGCACGTTGTAATGGAATTGTAGCACATTTCTGAAAATGGTTTGTATAAATGGAGGAGGTGACATAACAAAAATGTTCTTAACATCTGAAGAACTCGAACGTATTCACACCTGTTATCCCGATTATCACAAACTCAAATCTCTCCACTTTTTCTCACTGAACATCAATGACGAAAATATTTTCACAATAAGCCTGAATATCTCAAAAATTCTTCACGTTCACGTTGAAGAACTTTTCATGTACAAGTTGAAGAATTCTTCATGTACACATTGACATAACCATGACATATATTCAATCCTACTCACTCTCCCGTTAATCATTTTAGCGTCATCACTAATTAGGATCAAATTGAATAATTTTAAAAAAGTGAAGGATTAAAAGTATAAAAACAAAAACTAGGAGTGTTATTGAATTATCAAAACAAATTAGACAACAAAAAAGTATTTAAACACAAAAAATAAATAAGGGTGAAGTTGAAGAGAGGACATATGCACTTTTCTTATTTTATTATAAATTTAGGAGGATAAATTAAAAATATTATAATTTATCAGGTGGAGTAAAAAAAAGAAAGATGTAGGAAAAACCGACCTGAAATTATAATGAGATTCCATTATCTTTTATAGGAAAAAAAAGGGGAAAAATGCAAAGGTTTTAAGAAAGGGTATAAATGTGGTGCAAAATTAGGATTAAAAGAATAACGAATAAGGAGAATAATTTTTTTTAAAGAATAATGTCAAACCCATTAAAAATCCACCAAAACCCCAGCTGAGTGGAAGACAAGTGTCGAGGAAGGGGAGCTGGAAAACAGAAAGTAGAAGACAGGTGTGAGCAGTGGAGTAGCCGTTCGGTTTTGACGGTAGGAGTAAAACTCTAAGTTTTCAAAAATTCACGCCACTCTTTGCATGCAACCATCTTCTTCAACCTTCTGAAACTCCATTCTTCTCTTTCTTCTCTCTAAGATTTCTTCATCTTCTCTCTACGAAATCTTACTTTTTCCTTCCTCCGATCATCAAACAGACCACACCTGAGTATTCCCGGCGACGAGGGCGTTCGTTTGAACCGACCAGTTTTTGATTTCGAGCTGATAAGTTCATCTCTCTCTTAGCCGTGTGGTTTCCTGGACATGCAACCCAAGTTCTGGTTTCATGTGTTGATCATTCTTCTAAAAAGAGTGATTCTGATAGTGCTTTGATCTTTACTTGATTTAGTTTCGGAAGTTGTCGAGCGTTGAGGGTAGAAGGATTGGTAGAGGTGAACCAGTATCCATATCTGTGAGCGTTCGGTCACGTTAAGAGGTAAGGGAAGCTTATATAATTTGATTTAGATTCTTGCTTTGTATGGATGCATGTTCGTTGATTTTTGAATGAATATGAAAAATGGTTGTTACTGCATTGTTGACTGTATGAGGAACTAGAATGATATTGTGTTTGATGATTTGGTTGATGATGAAATATGGTATGTCGTTTAAAAGTATTGATGATTAATGAAAGCCATGAAATGGGTAGGGATGTTGTCAAGAGTTAGTATTGATCATCCAATTATACCAACGTTCGTTCTCAGTAGCGTTCGTTCTTAATAAGTGTTAGGTATTAGACCATGTTGTCGAGAGTCAATATTGACCATTCAATTATACAAGCGTTCGTTTTCAGTAGTGTTCATTCTTAATAAGTGTTTGGTATTAGACCATGTTCTCAAGACTCAGTATTGACCATTCAATTATACAAGCGTTCGTTCTCAACAGCGTTCGTTCTTAATAAGTGTTTGGTATTCTACCAGCGCTCGTTCGATATAGTGTTCGGTTTTCTTGTGGACTCGGTTGGAACTGGATTCTTTCATTTGGAGAGAGTTCTAGTTGAAGACTAGCGTCTTCGTTTCGTTTTGTAATATTTGTACTTAAGTGTTCAACCAAGGATATTCATTCCTTGGTATTTGATTATAAACTCGAGTATATCTATATGTATTTGTATATTTCGTTCGTTCTTGAACA